TGTTTAAAAATATATTTATAATTTAATATATAAATATATAATATAAATATATAAATATATAAATATTTAATATATAATAAATATAATTTATAATTTCTTTTTTATAAAAATTTCATTTTATATTATTTTTTTATTTTATTATATAATTTTTCATTAAACTCTAGATGTTATTTTATTTTTATCATATTTTTGTCATATCATCATTATTGGAAATTGTTCTCAAATTATATTCGTTGAATTTCAATCATCCAAAAATACTTTCATCTTTTGAAGCAACAGATAATCACTGTTGAAATCGGTGTGACTCGCGCATCGGTCGATTCATGCGGTTCCTTGGAAAAAGCCACGTGCGTCATCAGAGCTCGCAGATTTCTCCGGTAAATCCTTGCAGCATCATTAAACCTGTGTTGTTTCAATTTCGAATTCTTATGAAATACGATCGATTACGATCGAACATTTAAGTATTATTTAATTACTATTACGTTAACGCTAGTTCTTAAAAAGAATCGAAATAATTATCAATTTTAAGAAATTATTAAGAAATGTTTTTATAAGTATTTTATGCTATGAAAAGAAATATTTCATTTTATTTTTGAATTCCTGAAATATATACTTTTTAATGAAAAAATTTTTAAACATTGTTAAGCAATTGTGCAATTATATGTTAATAATGTTTATTTACTATTTATTAATTAAATATTATTAAATTATATTATATAATATATATATATAATATATAAAATTAAATATTATAACATTTATTAATAATGTTATATTTACTATTTATTAATTAAAATTATTATTATATCAAAATATTCTTTACTTTAAAATTATATATAAAAAAATATTGATCTGTTTCAAATCTATTTTTAATTTTAACAGATATTAAACGATGTGATATAATATCTATGATATTTTTATACAATATATTTTTGTTAATAATTGTTTATAATTTAATATTTTCAAACATTATGCTGTGAAAATATTTTAAATAAAAAACATAAAATATATGATAAATGAAAAAAATTCTAAGAAATCAGTATTGGAAAAAAATAGAAATCAAATAATAAATAATTTAATAAAATTACACATATTTTTATGTAAATTATTTATATATAATAAACATTCACATTTTTGCCAAATTATTCATTTCTAAAATTATCTTTATTACCTCAGTCGTAAAAAAATAGAAACCAATAATTCATTGCAATCACAAGAAAAAATTATAATATATAATTGTAAATATTACACAACGTGTCTTTACGAAAACTTATTAATACAATAAGTTTCTAACAAATAAATATAACGAATAACAAAATAGCACTTCATGAATTTATAGATATAACGTTTGTATAAACTTTGAACTTCATCATATTTTTAAAAAAACAAAATTTTTTTTATTATTTATTTATTGTATTATTTATTGTATTTATTTATTGTATGTTTTTATTATTTATGTTATTTTCTGTATTGTTATTATTTATATTTTTTTTTATTATTTATATTATTTTTATTATGTAAGCGAACAACTCGTTTTTTTTCGCGAATAGAATATTCGATATACGCAGAATCGTCGGGGAATTTTCCAAGTTGTATCGGCACGTTCCAGACGAATACTGTCCGTGAATGGAGATGATGCTGAAAGTCCGATTGGTGGAGTACGAATTCTCGGAACCAAAAAGGAGACCGGTCGGTTCGGGGCGTACATCGCCAACCGCTGAATCATGTTCAATCGGCCATCTTTACCTATTTTTTTTTTTTTTCTCTTTTTCTT